TCACACAACGTCTAGACTTTAGGTAGTTGAATATCAAATTTGATGAATGATATATGACCAGCCTTCCCGTATGCATACATAACATACACTTGGGGAAAATTATGCAATCGACGATGATGACGGTGTATTGATCCGTGTTGGTTGTATGGACAACGCCCACCTAAGACTAAATATTTTTTTCTAGTTGCAAAAAAGGCGTTGCGCCGATTTATGATCCGGTTCCTCGATGGTTATTATATTTTTTTGCCTGGTTGTTTTTTAATTTTTTTAATTTTTTTTTTTATCACAATTCAAGGTTAAATTAGTTCAGGATACATTGTGATCTAAAGGTCATACTCGTGCAAATGTACGACCGCATTTATAGTGGAAAAATCTACTGTTAATAATAAACTATATATTATGGTATTCGCTTTATAAGCGTCCACACACTGACTACCAAGGGTCAGTTATTTGAACTATTCTCCTTAAATTTCACATTCTAATTTCGATTGGATACAATCATTATGATCGAGGACGTTGGTGTACAATATGATTCCATGCAAACAACTAATCTGTACTATTGTAAAACACACTTAAACGAAACTATTCACTTTAAGGCCAAAGCGATGGACAAATATTCAAAATATAAATTCACCATTCACGTGTATTTCCTAAGAGATATTTTGAAACGTCTCGTTGGCACAACGTTAGCGCAATAATCAATGATGTATTTAAAATAATAAATTCTAATTCAATTTGTTGATAATAATAGTAATCAATCATATATATGCTAAATATTAATTAATAAATTTATCGGAATCATTCACAAGCAATCAAAGGACATAAATAATTTTTATATTACACAAAAACAATTAATTAAGTTGACAGTGATCATGCGAATTTTTATAGCTATTCGAATCAAACGGGAAAATTAAATTCAACCCATTGTAACGATACATGTCGAGTCATTAGTCGGGAACTAAATTAAATTACTCTTGAGTTCTACAAAAGTTTAATTATTTCAAAATATTTAGATTATTAAATAAAATAATAATAATCATTCATTTGGTGATATTTTATCATTTTCGTTTAAGAGTTACACATTCTAATGAGATTACAAATTACAAAAAACTATGTAAAACCATAACGATTGTATACTATGCTTTCGGATCAAATATTAATTCAAATTTTATAAATTGTATTTAAGAAATCACCAACATTCACTTATATATTTCTAAACTCATAAATAGGTTTGGGATTTTAATATGTAAACAATCACAAAAAAATGCAAAAGTGCATTAAAAATCTTAAAAAAATAATTTAAAATACGTTCAAAAAATTATTTATTGCAGTTTAAAAATTTTATTTTAAAAATCATACCACCATTTTATTTATTTAACATAACAATAATAAAATAGGTACTATTTGTTAAATATTTATATTTATTTAATTGTATCAAATTTTAATTTATTTTATAATGAATATAATTGTCGTTAGTAATATTATGAATTGATAGAATAATATTTCATTAATACAAGTATATTTGAAGTCATTGATTTTACTTTTGCATGTAGAATATTTTTGGTACAAGATATATATATGCAACTGCGTGTAGGTATGATAGAGTTTTTAGATAAATTATGAAAAGATCATTACATTTTAAAAATGCACTAAAACCATCACAAAATGCCCTAAAAATGTATTTAAAGTTAAATTTGTCAAAAAATGCACAAAAATGCAAAATTAAAATTACATTAATATAATCTGTTTTTCCTAAAACAATAATCTGCATACGGACCTACGTGTAAGAGCACCAAGAAAATATATGACATTACATCAATATCCTACAATGTCCAATTCAAACTGATATCAGAATAATATGAAGTTTATTCAAAACCGTATTATTGCTGATAAAAGTTTTAATTTTTTTATTTTTACTAGAAAATAGTTCCCCGAAACTTAACATTATGCGTCGTTTAAAATATTATTTTATAAGGTTCCATCCTCTACTTAAGTTAAATCAGTGTAAGAAAATAACAAAAAAATGTAATTGATGCAATAATCACAGAAGTACTGAAAATATGTAACATATTCACCTAGCATTACCTATGCGACATGTGATTCATATTCATGTATTTCGTACTAGTCATACAAAAAATTATTTTCAAATACTTTGTTTCAAATCATTTTTTTACATGTAGTGCACTTTGAATAATCGTGTAACGGCGTGAGTTCACTGAATGCATAGTACATAAAATGGTATAATATAATTAAAGTCTTTATGCGTGGAAAACCACGGATGCGCATATTAAACATTATTAAGATATATACACATTGTGTTACATAAAAAGCAATACACTTTACTGTTAAAGAAAGTTATGGCCCGGAATGTATTTATAACTATATTATTAAATTGATTTTATTCTAAAAAATATTATGTATATTATGTTCATACCGTCGTAATTATTATACTTTAATGGTGCAATTAAAAGTATAGTAATAATAATGTTACTAATTTTTTTTCTAGGAGCGTATTATGAAATCTAAATTATATACCGAATCTGTTTATTTTCTAATCTTATTGTCGTGCGTTATTAATTGTTATGTAGTGAAATAAAAGTACACCAAAAAAGAAAAAAAATCGTTATCAACGATTACTATTACACACATCTACTATGCTTAACGTACATGTATTAGTTTTAATTTATAATTAATAAATAAAGCCGAAATTCAATCTCAACAAATTAATATTTTTGTTATACCGTCAAAGTTCTAAACATAAATAAACTAATAGCCGTTAAACATATGTTGTTTTAATACTATTTTCGAAGTGAAAAAATCTCTAATCTGTCACAAATTTTATAACATGAAGGTTATCTTCGTTATAAATTGTGTGTTATAAATCTAAATGGAAATTCACAAATTATAACATTTAAATATTTAATGTTACAATATCTTTAGTATATACTCTACAAGCATCCTGCATGAAAAAAAAAAACCAGCAAAACAAGTTATTTTACTTATCACAAATACAGTTTGCATGATATAGTCATTCATAAATTATTATTAATATATATTGTCGTTTATTTATTTTTATTTCATTTTTGTTTACCAATATAATATTAATTTTGATTTCTATACAGATGGTTTATATAAAAGTTAGAGACTTAAATGATGGGTTACGCCTGAAATTATTCGTTGTATAGTTCATCATCATAACTATTTGATAATATTATATTGACTTATAATTTTAGATTGTATTTTACACCAGCATTTTATTTTAATGTGTTTGACTAATACTTATTATTTATACTAATACCATTAAATTCATATCTTGATATTGAGTTTGTACATTGTTGTTAATCTGTAGGTTTGGTTATTTTTCATTTTATAGGCTAAATCTATTTAAAACCAATTTAATAGATTTTTTTCGTAACTTATGCGTTCAATAAAACGTAATGAAATCTATAAAAGGATTCCCGCACAATGTATAATATTATTATTTAATCAAGATCAATGAAAACTGAAAACCATTATTAGTTGAGTAAACATCCTTGAAGATACATTATAATTTCGCTTTGTTAGATCTGATTACTAAGATTATACCCAAAATCTATCCACTTAACAACAACGGACAATTGCCAAACTTGAGGGCCACCCAAGTCAAATATATACTGTTTTGTCACAGATAGGTGTGTTCGTATTTATATTCTGTTCAATACCGTATACAAAGTTTATTGTCCGTTATTCAATTATCCGTCGTAATTGCAATAGTTTCAATCTGATATACGAAAAATACAAATAAAACATTTTCTACAATTTAAACGCTATAAGTAGGTATATATACTTATGGGTCAAACAACAATGTAACAATGTAGTTTAAACGAAAGGTAGTAGTCGCTCGGGAATCTTCTACGAATAAGATTTATTGGAACGCAAAAAGGGTGAGCCCCAGAACAACTTGCGTTGGGTACACTTTTACTGTTCAAGTGGAATAAAAGACGAAATTTTATTCGCTCGGAGTCTCCTATTTCATACACGTTGATATACAGATGCCACCATCGCGTTATAATAACAATCCCAAAATCGTAATATTTGTGTGCCCAATAATTACCGAAACCCATCGTTGGAAAAATAAATCCCTCGTTCCCACACTAGACACCTGAATGATAATGATTATTTTATACGTCGCACGAGTATGTAGTATGTATGTATGTACAGTGCCGGAACTAGGAAATTTGACACCCTCGCGTAGGTGGATGTAATGGGTATGTCTATGACTTTTTTTTTATTTTTCATAAACCTAATAGCTGCCTCGTAACAACAGCGCTTGTAACTACCATACCCACTTACACCCATACCCCCTCCCAACCAAGATCCGGCACTATATACATATGTAGTTGCGCAACGGTCTATTGCGGTTCCGCCCTTACGCCGGGTACTGCAGCTGCATCATTACGGCTGTTGCGCGAACAATATATCGGTTATACCTGCCGATCGTGGAACGTATTACGGCCACCAATCGCGTCTCACCCACTGACCTCCCTTCGTTAAAACAATAAAATCGTACCAGAGCTCGTAAGACCTGCGTGGACCGTACATGTGTTTCGAGATCGGTCTCACACCTACACACAAACACACACACACACACACACCCGCAAGACGTAAGGTTTACATGGTTGGGCCAAAAAAAAAAAAAAACACCCATTTACCCGCGGCAACAGTAGTGAAAAGTGCACTGACGGCGATGGATTTAGTCGCAAGTCTTGTGCAAGTCGTGCCGGGGCGCGTTCTCGTTTCCACCGAAGCACACACGCACGCACGAGCGCACGCACACAACAGCACACATGTACGCGGACGAACGCACACGAACGCTAGTGGTCGGCTAAGCGGTCAGGCCGAATAAGAAAGTGACCCTCTCCTCTGCATCTGCGCGCGTCCCTCCCACCCTCACTCTCTGTCAACAGCGCGCGCTTGTCTCTCACTCCCCGGACCGGCGGCGGCGGCGACGTCTCTCTCCCAACAGTACGTCTGCGTGTCCGACCACAATCTTCACTCTTGTGTGAACAGTAGTTTAGGACGAGTCGACGTGAGTTTGTGATTAAAAAATATTAATAATAATCGTTCCGAGTTTTTTTTTTTTTAATTTCTCAGTCATTATTATTGTTATTATTATTTTCAACCGTTTCCGAACGCGCACACTCGGTATATTATTATAATAGTACACAGTTTGAGACCGGTGTTTTTTTTTTCTCTATTATTACTATCAATATTAATATTGTTAATCGTTCATCCTCGATCGGTTTTATTATTAATTTTTTTTTAATCACACGACGTTCACTCGAACAACTAAATGTCACACGCGTCCGAAGTGTACTGTTTTCTCAATAAAAGCCCGTCGGCCGCTCCAGTAGTGTAGTGGTTCGTAGTCGTCGAAAACACCATCCGCAATCGTATCCGTAAACAGTCGCGAGTCCATACATATCGTGCGGAGGAAGTCTGCACAACACCCTGACCCGACAGCGCGCACGCGTCAACGATGACAGCCACCCGCAAGATCGTCGTGCTGTTACTGGCCTGCGCACTACAAGGTGAGTGGGTCGTCGGGGGTTTTTGCGTATTTCCATTTTCGTTTTCAATGTTTAGCGAGAGAAAATTATGGTATCGAAATCCCATGGGATTTCGAAATTATCATAAATCGTTGTTGTTAATATTGTTATTACTGCTGTTGACGACAACTCTGCTACTACTGCGATCGATCTTGTTTTTACGGCCGCGGACGTATAAAAATCGAAAGTAATATAATAAACACGATACATAGGAAAAGATGTTGCAATGGAAAGTGAAACGACGACGTGTGATACAGACCGAGTGCATGTACGCCCGGTAATAATAACGGTGTTGCGGAGAGTATAATAAAATATAATAAAAATAGAGTAAAAACAACATTACAATATACAGTGTATTTTTTCCGACGTAATGGGCCGTGGATAAAATACGGCACTGCGCGTAGGGGAAAGAAAGACACTTCCGTCACGCGGTTTCGATTTATATTTTATAAACGTCTCGTTTACGGAAAACGATCTGAAAACGATTCGCAATCGTCATGTTTACAGAGCGATTTTCATTTACATTATCAGAACATACGTATTATTTTCGTACGCATAATCTGTTTGTATCTCTCGCGTGTACTAATTACGCGACATTTCGTTGCATTACGCGTTGTACAAACAATCATCACTCGCCCGAACCTTTGTCTATAATGAGTAATAATAATACGATCTCACCGTATGCTCGGTTATTTGTGTGCGATTATTGCGATTTCACGATTTAAAAACCCATAGGTCGGTCGCGACCAAATTTATCGTACCTATGCAGGCGAGGCGGCGTATGGAATGAAAGAAACGGCTATTGTTCGCACAAGATATATCTGTCTTTATGTTTGTACATAATATGTGTTTCCCGTGCCGAATAATCCGTCGTTCGTATCCCGTGGAAAGTTGTATTTCTATAATGTACTACGTACACGCGGCCGGGCCCATTGTGCGGAATCGAAATTTGTGGTTTTATTTCACCGCGAGACACTCGCTCGGAAAACAAAAGACGTACACCATGATGACGGCCGCGAGTCCATTAGTATAAATGCGTTTAAGGAAGAAAAGTGAAAATTTGCGATTGTATTTTTTCGGTGAAATCAATTTTACCCGCGTCGCGATAACAATTACGCTTCCCAATGCGGCGGTGTGGCACAGCGGTGCCAAGGGTAATAGGTCCATTATATTATGTTCGGGTGAAGAATAGCAAACGTTCGTCGGCTCACGCCTTAACAATAATAAGATTGCTTGGATATGCCAGGAATTATTATGTCATTACAAGCGAAACGGTTATAATAATGATTCTAGCGATCTATATGTGTCACATCAGTCATAGTCGTGAACATGCTACTTAGGCACACGACCAAGGCTGTAAAAATTGTATTATTAATGGCGATAATATATCAAATCGAACGCCGCGGCATTATGAATGTCAACCAGTATTTGTACAGGTTTTAATTACTGAATCTCGAAATGTCTCGAATAAGAATCCGCGATTAAAATGTTTTTTGCATTTTTTTTTTTCATTTTACAACACGTAATATTTTAACATTTAAATCAGCTCCACGATAGTTGTCCGTTTCACTCGCGTTGAATAATAAAAGAGTTCAGCCACGTTTGTTCGAGCGTTTACTCTCGATCCATAACAGAGACTTTAATAACACAAATACATATGAATACAAGTGTCTTCCAGCATTGCGCGTGTTGCACTCGTATACACATTTTGCATAATGTCTGAATACGTTTACTTCACCCTTTAGCAATTCTCGTTTTTATACGTTTAATCGATTAAGGAACAACGTAAACGAGTATTACGATAATAGTGAAAATGTCACCTCGAAAGAACCGGTTGAACATTCCAATAAAGGTTGAACCTCGACGGCCGACCTTGAAGCATCACATTGACGTAAGCGTGCGGAAAACAATCTTGCGCTGAACTCACATTTATAGATTAAAATATACGGACAACGTTTAAAATTATACCCCAAATATAAGTTCTTCTATCAATTCAAATCAAGTTTGATTGATTATAATCTAAAAATATACTCTCCCGTTTATATAGCCGACATCTCGTATTTTAAACTTAAATTATTAGTTTTTTTTTTTTTTTTTATCAAGATCTGCGTTGAAATTAAAATAGTTTGAAAAAAAACAACGTTAGTCTTCGATATAAGGTTGTATATCGGTTCATATCGGAATTATAACTATTGCAAATAGGTGTACTTGTTAATTATGTATAATATAATAATATATTGAAAATTATGTAAACATTTTTGATGTAATAACAACATATAACAGTACAATGATTATAAGTCAAACCGTGTAGGTATTCAAGTATAATTTATGATCATGTAATATGTAAAAAGTTCAATTGAGACTCATACGAAACGATATCAACTATAATATTCATAGATATAGCCAACACAAAAACTGACGAGTGAAAAAATAACTCTCAAAAGATGTGTATGTGCGTGTTCGTATAAAAATAATTTCCTTTTTTATTTTTTTACTTCTTTAAAACCAATAATAAACGTCTAGAAATTCTGAAATCCACATTCCGCTAGATCGCAAGTGTATCTACGTCTGTTGTTAACCGCCAGGATTCAACTTGTGATGACCACAAGAATGTTAGTAACTTCGTTCTTGGAACATTCGCCCATGCACGATTATACCCGTTTCAGGAATGCATCGCATTTTTCAAAATACTGCTGTATGTAGTATTAAAATGTGCAACAACAGTATCAACATCTTTTTACGTCTGTATAGCAAATACACGTTTGTGTCGCATTGATATAGTTCGTTTTATAAATGAAAACCGTTAAATATAATCGTTAATTTCCTATACTGTATAATCGAATAACAAATACACTATGTATTGGCGTTAGATTTTTTAACAATTCTGTTTCAAAATAATATGCTGTAATAAAAACATTGCTCAAATGTTGAACATTTAATAGAATAAATTTTTTATTTAGTGGTAGATGTTTAATTATAGAATCAGGAAGCTACCTAAATAAAAAAAAAAAAACTTGCATTGACGTTGTTGGTGTCTACATATTATATGCAATCAAGTTGATTAATCCTAAAAAAATTTTCCCACATCTCACTGCTCTGATCATTAGTAGTTCGTAGTTAATTAGGTTGTTACAAAACCTTTATATGGAAAAAATATTTTGTTGTTCAATATATATAATTGGTATATTCAATTTTTTCCAGTAACCTGATTTTACTTTTTAACAACATATTAAAATAATTCAATACAAAAAAAAAATAAATAATTAATGCTGTTTCATTTAAATATTACTACTATTTTTAACGTACTTATTTTTATTACGATTCGTAATTCTGCAGAATATTATAATTTATTGTTGTTTATCAAATTACATAATTTGCATGCAACAGGACGACTCTATCATGCACGCGTAAACGGAATCGAATAAATCTGAAAACTAATCTTAACACCTAATTTAATATTCAACCATATTTTCAGACCGTTCTAATAACAAGTTCCTTGCAGAATGTTTAATCTCAGTGATTTCCTGCTTACAATTTTCATCGCAGTATACTTCAAAGATAGAAATATGTGAAAAAGGACAGGTATTCGTTATTCGTCGAAAAATTAACTATTGTACACGTGTTTACAGTGCCGGATTAAGAGGGCCGATGCCGCCCTGGAGCAAATAATGTTTGCCCCCTCCCTCTCAAAGAAATACAATTTAAGTGAAACCAAAAAAAAAAAAAAATGTTTTCTATGTATAAATTAAAAAAATTAAATACTTTTATAAAATATAGGCACCTAATAGAATAATTAATCTACCTAAGCTAAAAAGTATAAATAGCTATATGTTTAATGTTACAGAATAGTTTTGCAAAGAATTTTTTTAAACTAATGGAAAATACAATTATAATATTAATAAATTCATTTAAAATATGCAGATAATAATTAAAGTAATTTTTAATGTTAACGTCAATTTAAAAAAAAAAACTATAACTATATAACTATATATTATATATTATTTTTTTTTTAATAATATTATTTATTTTTCTTTAAATATATTTTTTTATGGATTTAATAGTTTACTTTAATGTAAGTTTTTATGTTAGTTTTTTTCACTTTATTTCCTCAACCAAATCAAATTCTATGTATAAAATTGATAAATCGAACATTTTTCTTGTATTAATGACTATCATAAATCCTTTTTTTAGGGCAATTTTATTTATGCCACCCCACTAAATTTGCCGCCCTGGAGAAAATGCTCCTTTTGCACCTAAATTAATCCGGCTCTGCATGTTTACTTATAATTAGGGCCCGGATTTAAATGCACTGAAAACCATACAAATATGCTTTAAAAAATAGCCAAAAATTTCCTTAAACAATGCATTTTACCACAAAAATGAACTTCAAAATGAAAAAAATTACTTTAAAAATGACATTTTTTTTTTATTTTGGGCATTATTTAACACGCTATTTAATACATTGACATCACATTCACGTGTAATATGAGAAACGTCTGCGAGATAATACGAACCATAGCTGATTATTTTTTATTTTACCAAATACTGGTGACGTTCCATAGTCAATAATAAATTAAGATAAAAACTGAAACGAAAAATTAATATTGACAATGTGTATGGAAATACCCGATAAACCTACTTAAATATCAAGAAAATAATTTGTCTTTTGATCAACCAAAAAATATGCACTTTGCATTGAAATCCGGACCCTACTTATAATAATATTTCGCCCATCAACTTCACAGCCATTTGTTCCCCGACCAAAATTATAGTAGTGTATATTATATCATGTTACATGTTATAATTGATTAGGAAATGAAAATAATACTTATTCCGCGTGTACACCACTTGCTTCGTAACAGGTTACATATGAACGAGTTATACAACGAGAGGGCACCCAATGTTTTAAACACAATTGATGTACAGCTATAGTGCGTAGGCGTAATTAGATCCCGAGAAATTACTGTTGCCGTTTCTTCACA